CTGTGCACGGTGGAAATTATGGAAGAGTTTAGAATGAGGTTTTGATATGTTGTTCATAGCATCACACTGAATTGTAGTCAACTTGGCAGTACCTGACAAAAACATGCAGGTGTTTGTTAAAAAAAATCATCTTGACTGCATTCTATTCTATTCCTAGTAGGAAAATGTTGTTGTTAGGTGTCATCAAATTAAATAAGACTCATAGTGACCCTCTGAACACCAGGCCTGAACCTTGTCCTATTCTGTGCCGTCCTCATTGTCTCTGACACGTGAGCTCATTGCTGCAATCACTGTGTCAGTCCATCTCATTGGGAGTCTTCCTCTCTTTCACTAACCCTCCATCTTTCCAAGCATGTCCCTTTCTAAGGAAAAGCCTTGGCTAGCAACAAGTCCAAAGTATGAGAGATGAAGCTTCGTCATCTTTGCCCCTGAGGAGCTCTCTGGTTTCACTTTCTCCAAGACATAACTGTTTGTTCTTTTGCAGTCGATGGACTCCAACACCATGGCTCAATTCTTCTGTCATCCTTATTAATTATCTAGCTTTCAGATGCATAGCAAGTGAATGAAAAGATCATAGCCCAAGTCAGGAGCACCTTAGTAGTCAAACCGACATTGCTGTGTCCATCCTCACCTAATGGACTGCACAGAAATCAGATTGACTACGTCTGTAGAAGAAATCTTTGGAGAAGCTCAATATCAACAGTCAAAACCAAGCCAAGTGCTCGCTGTGAAACAGCCATAAATTACTCATATGCAAGTTCAAATTGAAGCTGAAAAACGAAAACAATCCTGTAAGAGGCAAAATGTAACCTTGAGTCTATCCTGCCTGAAGTGAAAAATCCTTTTCAGAATAGGTTTGAGGCATTGAACACTAATGATCAAAGACTAGATGAGTTATGGGGTGACATCAAAGATAGAATCTATGAAGAGAGCGAAAGGTTCTTACAAAGACAGAGCAGGAATAAAGAGCACAATGGATGACAGAAGAGACTGAAAATTGATGCATCACTAGGAAGCCTGAATTTCAATACCTATTTGATGAGAATCATGATTCAATTCACAACAACACCCATTACCATTTTAAGGGACTTTCCCCCCCTCTCCATTTGTTGAGAATTTTTGTTTGTTTATTTTAATGGACCCACTGGAAACATATAAAGCAAAAAGCAAGGTTGCTTCACAGGAAGGCACAGTTCTTAGGTGCCATTGAGTCAGTTCGAATACACAGAGCCCTGCGTACGACACAAAGAATCCCTGCCCATCCCTGTGCCATCCTCACAATCTCTGCTGTTCCCCACTGTGGTAGCCACTGCACCAGGCTATCTTGTTGAGGGTTTTCCTCTTTTTCACCGACCCTCTACTTGTCCAAGCATGATACCCTTTTCCAGGTCTCGGTGCCTCATGTCTGTGGATGAAGTCTCACCTTCTTTGCTTCTGGGGTAGGAGGTGGGAGAGTAGAAGTCAGACTCCAACAAAGATCCAAACAGATATGGAGAGGGGCCCCTTTGATTAGGAAAGGAAGGGAAAAACACATCCTGAAAACAATACTTCCCTCTTGGGTGTACCAGTAGAGAGAGGAAATGTTGGAATTTCGGTCTTGGGAGGTGGAGGCAAAAAGATTGATGGAATTTTTGTGGCAAGAAGCTGCACTGCAATCCTGAAGGCATGTGGTTCAAGGTCACCAGCTGCTTCATGGGAGAAAGATGGTCAATCTCCTCCCATGTGATTAACTGCCTCTGAACACCCACCAGAGGGTCAGCTATGAATTGATTCTGACCGACTGTACACAACAAGAAGTTTACAAAAAAAAAGTTTTCTCGTTCTAGACGAACTGAGGATCTGAGCCATTAAGACAAAGACTCAGAAGAAAGCCAAAGGCTCAGGAAGGAACAAGGCCATATAGAAAGCATATCCTCAAGGCCTTATTTATGCATGAATCCCAAAGGCCAAGAGTTCTCTACTGCTCTGTAACATATTGGGTTGGACAGCATCGTGGGGGCTATGCTGTGCATTGCAGGTCATTCAGCTACATCCCTGGTCTCTACTCACTAGACAGCAGTATTATCCAGTAACTTTCAGTTGTGATGACAGAAGATCTCTAGGCAGATTCCCTGTGGGCATGAGGAAGAACATAGGCATCACCTTCGATTAAGAACACAGGGTTAAGACCACTTACGTTTCTCCTGTTAGTGGTCAGACTTGTTAACTGGCAATCAACTAGTTTGAGCTGCAATGAGGAGGGGACGTCAGGGATCAAGACTGGGAGCATTTGAGTGAGACACAACATTCTCTTTTATGGACATCTCAGAGAATGGATGTTTAAAAACACCCCATTTCCTCTTTTCCTTTCCCTTATTTGGTGCCATTGTTGTCAGCTGTTTTTCTGTTACTTGCAGGAGAGATTTTCTCCTGTCCTTTCAATCTGTGCGGACTTCCGGCAGGAAATGGCACTCAAGGAAAGTTCTGATTAAAAGGAAGGTGCTGGTTTGGCCAGTGGAAACAGGAAGTTGTTGCTAGAGTTTTGTCCAGCAGAGTAGAAAGTAAGAGGCACAGAGAAAAGTCACCTAACAAAATGGGGAGAAGTAGAAGGGAGAGAAGTGAGAAAAGCTAAGGAGCTGAGGAAGGCAAGCAGGTCAACAGTTTAGCCCTTGAATTCCATGGGAGGCTGGCTGGACTTGCCACACACAGATCATGGTACTGTGTAGTAGAAATGGTTCATGCAGTAATAATGAGCTAAATCTGTTGCAGTTTGTTGATAATACTATTTTAAAGTATAGTATTGTATTCTAAATATACTCTATTTAAATCAATACTTTTCCCCTACACATATTAAAGGGAATGCAGTGGTAGGGAGCTGCTCTGCCATCCCAAAGGTGTGCAGTTTAAATCCACCAGCTGCTCCATAAAAGAAAGATAGCAATCTCCTGTGCAATTTACCGCCTCTAAACACCCGCTGAAGGGTCATCTATGAGTAGGTTCTGACTCTATGGTACATAAAAGCAACAACAACAAATATTAACGGCATAAGACTAAGAGTAAAATCCTCTTGAATAAGCAGAGAGAGAAGCAGAAAATAAATACAGCGAAAGTTAAAAATTGAGGAATCACCATTTATACAAACTTTGTATGCAAACCGATAAAGAAACCTCAACAAAACAAAACAAAACAAAAAGTTTGATGAGTCCCGTGTAGAGTATATGGCTATTCTTTTTATTCTTATATATTTCTCTGTAAATCTGGAATTTTCCAAAAATAAAAAAATGATGTGCATATGTGAGAGAGAAGCCATTTTCCAACTCTATGCCATTCAGGGATGGATATTTCATCACAGATACAAGGACGAAGGTATGTGGTATTACCTATGAACATTCTCTATAAGGTAGTATAGTGGGGACAGACACTTTTAGCCAAGAATAATTTTTTTTGTCTGCACACAGATTTTTTTAATTAAAACATTAATTGTACAAGTTTCTGTGTATTTAAAGAGAAACCCCCCCCACCCAAACCCCAAAAAACAAACTTTGAGTGTTTTTTGTCAAAAGCAGTGAATTAACAGTCTGTTAATAAGGTCATGTGTTTCAATAGATACCAGCTCAGCTCATGTCTCTCCTGTCATCCTTAATTAATGATTCAATCCATCTCAGACATGAGTAAGTCAGGTTTGTGCAGTGTTTAAAGAATGATTCTTCATGTATGTATACATCACCAAGTTTTGTTAAATTCTTCTGGAATTTCAGATTTTTGTACAATACAAACTAACCTCACAAGGCAGGAGTAATTCTTAGTTTTTAGTTCTTGTACACATTCATTCATTCAACCAGCATTTTTTAGTATCTACTGTATATAAGGCAATGTGTTAAGTGGTATAGAGAATAAAGTTATGACTCAGATAAACGTTTTGATCTTAAATAATCTTATAATTTATACCTGAAAAACTTTGGGCATACATTATTTAACACAAGATAGCAAGTCAATGGTTTTCTTTGTCAAATCTAAAAAATAGTATCATTACTTCATAGTAGGGGGAAACGGTGTTGTGCTTATTTTAGTTGCATTTTCCCATTCTTCCATAGAAAATGAAGGCTGAAGAATTGGGGTTTATGGTGGAGTTGAGATAAAGAGGGCTGTATTCTAAGTTCTACTAAGGCTTTGCACAAATCATGCAATAACTGAAAATAGCAATCATTTATTATTACTTATAAATGATATTGTATTTTTGGTGAATGTTTACAGAGAAAATTAGGTTTATCTTTGGCATTTTGTATATGTTTTGGAAAAACTACACACAGAGTGCTCCTTGGAGGCAAAGATGACAAAGCTTCATCTCATTTACTTTAGACATGTTGCTAAGAGAGGCTATTCCTTGGAGAAGAACATGCTTGGAAAAGTGGAGGGTTGGGCGGGGCCGGAGTGAGCTGGGGTTCTGCTGCCTCACCTGTCCCCATTCACTGGCGAGCGGTGGGCAGCGCGTCAGGTGGAGAGAGCGGCCGCCTGGAATGAATCTGAAGTCTGCTGCAGTAAAACACTGAAGGTCCCCTGGGCTTCTCCTTGGTGTTCCTGCTTGGGGATCACTGCTGCTAGCTGACTGTACCTCCTCAACGGAAGTTTGTGATTCTGCTTTGGCAAAGTTCCATTGACTAGTAGAACTCATCCTGTTTTAGTGCATATTTCAATATAAATGTAAACATTTCTCTAAAAAAAAAACCAACAAAAAAAAAACAAACCAAACACTGAAGGCTTTAAAATGTTCTCTTGCATAAAACTCAAACTTTAAGTAACTTCTTATGAGGATAGGGAAGGCAGGAAGCTAATGTCTGTCTCAAGATACAGGACAGCTGTTTGCTCATCAACCTCAACTGTCCCAAACATCAGCAGGAAAGCCGAGCTGACATAGGGAGCTGGGCACTTCTATACAGAGAGAGAACGACAAAGCCTCCTCAGTACAGTAGGAACCCCACTCTAAGTCCCTATACTTTTATCAGAGTGTGCAACAGATTAACATGGCTCAAGAAACTAATCATAGCCAAGTGCCTATGCTTTGTTCCACTGGCTGTGGATTTTATGGAAATCCTCGTACAAATGGCATGTGTTCAGTATGCTATAAAGAACATCTTCAAAGACAGAATAGTAGTAATGGTAGAATAAGCCCACCTGCAACTTCTGTCAGTAGTCTGTCTGAATCTTTACCAGTTCAATGCACAGATGGCACTGTCCCAGAAGCTCAGACATTATTAGACTTTACATCTTCATCTATGCAGTCAAGCCCTGTATCGAATCAGTCACTTTTATCAGAATCTGTAGCATCTTCCCGGGTGGACAGTACATCTCTGGACAAAGCAATACCTGACACAGAAGATCTGCAAGGACCCAGAGCCGAGGGCCTTGTTCCTCTCGAATGTGATCCTCCGTCTTCAGTACCAGATACAGCACTGCAGCCAGCCATCTGAAGAGCAAAACAAGTCTCTTGAAAAACCAAAACAAAAAAAGAATCGCTGTTTCATGTGCAGGAAGAAAGTAGGACTTACTGGGTTTGAATGCCGGTGTGGAAATGTTTACTGTGTTGTGCACCGTTATTCAGATGGACACAATTGCTCTTACAATTACAAAGCTGATGCTGCTGAGAAAATCAGAAAAGAAAATCCAGTAGTTGTTGATGAAAAGATCCAGAAGATTTGAACTCCTGCTGGAATACAAAACCGTTTGACCATCTGCAAACTAAAAATTGACTTGAGCTTCCCCCCCCCCCCAGTCATTGGGAAGGTAGAGAGCAATGTAACTTGCATAGAAATTTTAATCACGCATGTCATCAGAAGAATAAATTTTTGTTTTGTTTTGAAAATGACTCTGAACATTTATTTCCATTGCAGTTTCTGTGGCTGAAAAGACTTTAATTAAACTTTACAAGTATTATATCCTTTTAAGATCATTTAATTTTAGTTGAGTGCAGAGGGATTTTTATAACAAATGTGGAGAAAATTTGGAGGGCTGTGATTTTTTCCAGTATTAAACATGCATGCATTCATCTTGCAGCTTAGTTTCTCATTGTGTATGTATATATAGCTTTTCTCTACAGCACCATTTCTTTTTGGATAGTGCTCTGTAGGGCACAACTAGTTACCAGTAACTGAATGTATCTTAATCATTATGGCTGCTTCTGGTTTGTGTTGGTTTTCCCCCCATTAACAAAGACTATACATATGTTAGTGTATAGTTTCTTTGCACCCACTATTTATGTCTGAATCATTTGTCACAGAGAATGTGTGCTGATGAGATTCGTGTGGTTATAATTATTTTTTTAGCAAGGAATGGAAAAGTTGTATGCATTTCATTATTGATTGCAGATTTAGAATATGTTCATCAGTTTATGTGTATACAGTATGAAGAATGATCTGAAGTAATTGTGCTGCATTTATATTTATCCACCAGTCTTTGATTAAATAAAAAGGAAAACTAGAACAAAACAAAAAAAAAGAAAGGTGGAGGGTTGGTGAAAGAGTAAGACCTGTAACAGATGGATTGACACAGTGATTGCAGCAGTGGGCCAAAGTGTGTCAGAAATTATGAAGATGGCACAGGACAAGACAGTTTTCAGATCTGCTGTTTGTGCTGTAGCTACGAGTTGTATTCGACTCAATGGCACAGTAACAACAACATATTTGCTCAGTGACATTAGTTGTATTTTTCACAAGAGTCAACAGTCTCTTGAATGGATTTCTATTTTTGTTCCATTTCTGACATTCTTGTTTCCCTGTCTTATTTTCTCATTTTTGTTTTAGCATTTTTATTGGCCTTTGGTCTCATATAGATTTTTGTTTATCTAATAGATAAAGAAACTTTATTTTGTATGCTGCTTGGTCTTTTGCTAAAGGGTGGTCTTGGGATAGTTCTGGTTCAAGTTTTGTAAAGTATCTCAAAGTGATAGTCTCAGCTAGTGTAGCAAGTCTGGACGTTTTAAGAACTTGAGGTCTGTTGTGCATTTTCCTCCTATTCTAGAAAGGTTCATCTATGTGACCTGTTTAGAAAAGTCAACTATGGCATCTGGGCACTTTAGCTAGTTCTTCTAGCCTTAGGGTCGATGAGGCCATGGCTCATGTAGACTCGTTATTAACTCTCACTCAAATTCACTGCTGTCAAGTCAGAACCAACCCATAGTTGACCCTCTAGTGGAGTTCTAAAGTGTAAATCTCACAGGAAGGAGACTGCCCATCTTTCTCCCTCAGAGCTGCTGGTGGATTTGAGCAGCCAGAGAGGTGCAGCCTTTGGGTGAGCAGCACAGCTCCCTGTGGACCACACCGGCAGATCTCCCTTGTTATTAACCCTGTAGACGAATTTCTTTTGTGAGGCTTTGGTTTCCTTCTTTCTCTTTTTCTTCGGTTGAGCAGAAGCCAATAGTTTTACCTTAGATGGCTGCTTCCAAGCTCTTACAAGTCAGAATCTACTCACTTCACTGTTATTGTTATTAAGTGCCATTGAGTCAAGTATGACTCATAGCAATGCTATGAACAAAAGATCTGAACCCTGTTCTATAATTATTGTCATTTCTCTAATGTACATAGGGTTTCCAAAAGAAGTGGATGCCAATTCTGCTTACAGGTCTGTCTTAACCTGGGAGCTCTAACCCTGTCCACCATGGGTAACTATTATGGCTCTTGATGTACCAGTGGCACAGTATTCAGTTTCACAGCAAACCCAAGTTACTTCAGTACAGGAAACTGACAGACAAGTGCTATACCACTTAGAACAATGTTCTTCCCAAACACAATTAGCATCAGGCTCAAGGGCCACACAATGGCCCAAATGATTTTTAAATACAAAGGCTTGCCTACCAGATCCTGATGAACTTAACAAGAGGCTTCCATGTTAATTAAATCCAGGCAACCAATTAATTTACGCTCAATTGTTAACAAAATAATAAAGTACAAACAGTTTACATCTCATTAGGATGTAGAAAATGAACTTTGTACACTATGTTATGTTAATTGTGGAGATGTCCTGTGAAACTAAGCCATCAAACCTAGGAAACCAGTTTCTTCCGGTGTTTTGTGAGATCTGACAAGTATCTGCAATTGTGCCATATATATAAATGAACACACTTATCTTTTCTTATGTGTATACATCTAAGGACCTCAGGTGGGGTAATTTGTAGAGAGTAGCACTGCTATCCTGAAGGTTCTAAACCACCAGCTACTCGAATCAAGAAAGATAAGCAGTGCGATTTATGACCTTAAAATATCTGCTGGAAGATCAGATATTATTTGGAACTGACTTGACAACAATGAATTTGAATATTTTTGAGTTTATACATTTAATTAACATCTATCTGTATACACATACATATATACCTATACCTGCTGGTATACTTGCATGTCTATACATATACATATACATATACATATACATATACATATACATATACATATACATACACATACATGTAACTGACTATGCACTCTTTTTTTTGTCCTTGTGGTGGGTGATTTATTATTGTTGTTGTTATTATTATTATT